AAATTGAAAATTTACAAAAATTTTAAAGAGAAGAAAATTTACATGAAAATTCTCTAATCGATCTGAAATATACAGGATATAATCGGACGGTAATACAAATAAAACTGCATTACCTCAGAGTTCGCCATTTATCGTCCTATTTGTATGAATTTGGTGTCTATCAAAACCTTGCAACTTTATCTAAAACTTGTTGGGATCAGAATTTTGCTTTTCGATTTTATTTTTTTATATCCGTTTAAATTTTTTGAAAATCTAAATGTCTATTTCTCGTGACCTATAATGACATTGATTTTTTCAGTGTAGAATGTGAATGTAGGGGTGGACGTCCCTAGACAAAATCGAAAATGGTATAGCATAATTGTCTTCACCAAACATTTTTAAATGACCTGGAATCAAAAATGAATATCTAAAACTCAATTTTTGCTAAACCGGAAGTGTGCCATTGCATGATGTGCAAATATTTTGCTTCAAGTCTGTAAGGCTTATTTATGAACCGATTTACCTCAAATTTTCTTTAATATGTTATAAGACGTGTCTGGTGAGGCTAAAATGAATTCAATTTTGTAATTATTTTTGTCAAAAAAATTTGAATCCAAAATTTTCAAAAAAGCTCAAAATTTCTAACTCAGCCGCTAATTGTCCGATTGATCTGAAATTCACAGGACAGAATGTCCATACAAATAAATTTATACAATCAAAATTTTTCTATCACTTTCAGTTTTTGCGTGAGAACTTCCGGTTTTTTTTAAAATCATGCCTGGTACTACCACTTCCGGTGTAAATTTCAGATGTTGGCAAAAACCATATTGTCTGTCAGTCATAATTAGAATGCATTTAGCAGAAAAAATCCAAACCGGAAGTGATGCATAAGCCGTCGCCTCGGAATTACCCATTTTAGCAAAAAATTAATTAGTCCTCCATTTTTCATCCGATTTTTATGATTTTGGTGTCTATTTAAACCTTGTAACCTTGTCTACAGTTGTTGGAACAGAATTTTGAATTTCGAATTTGAATTTTTTTTATACTCGTTTGACCTTGACCTTCGATGACCTTGAAAATTTCACTGTAGGATGTTCTTGACCTCAGCTATCCACGGGTGTACTCATATTGGTTGAAAAATATTAACTTCCGGTTTAATAGCCATTCAAAAATTAACATTTTTGACAACTATGGACGGCTGTATGACCTTTTTGTAATAAACACAGAAAATTATTTTTTTCAATTTTGTAATTCCCTTTTGATTATCTTTTCAATGATATATGACAATGATTCATTTAAATATGTTTTAAAAATATTGGGTTTTTTTTCGACTGAGGGTTCTAACTTACAATGTAAATAACACCTAGCAATATGGTTTGTATATTCAGGATCTACTAAATTTTCTCTTTTCATCGATATGTGACATGGGTGGGTTAATACAAAATTGAATTTGTGAAAATAGGCATAAAAGTGTTAAATGTTTATAAAAAATGTGATAAAAATCTGTAGATTGTGGGGATTAAAATGATTGACAGGTGTTATAACAGGTTATATAATATGATAGGAAAGCTATCCATATGAACTTTTGACATTATGATTATGTAATCTTTTAACACTTAAAAGAATAACTTTTTTTTTTCAATTTTTTTTTTAATTTTCACTTACAATAATTTAACATACACTCATATAGAGTAGTGAATTTTTGATAAATTAACCTGTTCGATTTTTTTCTGTACCATTAATAGAACTCTATCTGCAAGATACACACAACAGTTTTAGTTATGGGTGTTAGTTAGGCTGAGGGAATAAAAACAAACAGCGGGCTGTCTCTAGCAAACACTGACCGTGGAATCAGAATACAGAGCGGGATTCTAACCCACTGCACATAATCGCCTAGCAGGCACCAATTCAACTAGCTTCCGACTGCGCTAATCCTTAGCAATAAAAAGAAAGTGGCAATTTTATCTTCTGCTAAGATTATTATAGGTCATAAATAAATTAATCTGATTACACTATCTTTCAACTCTATGATAATTCAGTTTTTTTTTAATTTTTTGCAAAATTTCCCCTTATGATAATAAAGCATACACTTATTTAGAGCAGTGACTTTTTGATACATTAACCAGTTCGAATTTTGTCTGTTTGTCTGTACCATTAATAGAACTCTATCTGCAAGATACATTATACAGCAATTTTTGGTTATTGGTGTTATGCTGAGGGGATGAAAGCAAACAAGATTTATTGTCGTCTGTTAAGCTTATTATAGGTCATAAATAAATTAGTCTGACTACATAATCTTTTAGCTCTATAATAATTCACATGTTTTTTTTCAAGTTGTGCTATATTTTCACTTACAATATTTAAACAAACGCTCATTTAGAGCAGTGAATTTTCACTACATTTACCTGTTCGAATTTTCACGACCTTTGCAAAATGACCATGACAATACACCTCAAATTCCCGACATTTTATATGATAAAGGTCCAAGTAGCAGAGTTCGCACTGAAACTAATATATGCACTATTTCGAAAAGTGATGCTATTCCCTTACTTCGATCTCTGAATGAAATACAGTCTCAGGTTTTTTATGACGTTCGCCAGTATTGTCTGAAAAAAGTTAATGGTATAAACCGCGATCCATTTAGAATCTTTGTTACTGGCTCAGCTGGTACTGGTAAATCTCACCTTATCAAATGTATTCAATATGTCTCGAATTTTTGCGAAAACTGCGGAAAGTTTAGATGACATCACTGTTCTCTTAATCGCACCAACTGGGGTGAGTGCTCTTAATATTGGAGCGTCAACTATTCACAGCAGTTTTTCAATAAGAAAGGGGTTCTCATTTCCACCGTTTCAACCATTGGGACAAGAAACTATTAATACATTAAGATGTAAATATCGCAACTTACAAATATTAATTATAGATGAAATTTCAATGGTAGATCATAAGCTTTTTGTTACATTCATGGGCGATTAGGGCAAATAAAGGGTACCGATGAGTTATTTGGAAATATCTGTGTCATATGTTTTGGAGATATGTGGCAACTAAGACCAGTTAAAGGTAATAGTTTATGTCATGAAAGTGTCGCTTAATGACGCTTAAAACCACATGTGTTAAAGTGACTGATACACCATTAGTGTCTTGCTTAAAAATAGGTGTAGGGTCAAAAGTTATGTTAGTAATTAATTTAAATGTTTCTACTGGCTTGATAAATGGAAGTTTTTGGTCAAGTAACATTCATTCAAACTGATCAGAATAATCAAACTGACAAAATTTTTTTAAAATTTGATAATGCTAAAGTTGGAATAAATGAAGGCAGTGTTCCACTTCCGCCAAATGTACCACGTTGTAGTATTGGTATTGAGAGATATGAAAGCCCTCATGTTAACTATAAGGGCGATGTTAGACGCCAGTTCCCATTACATCTCGACTATGCAGTTACTATTCACAAATTACAAGGTCTTAGTCTCAATAGAGGCGTAATATCACTTCATAAAATATTACAAGGTGGTCAAGCCTATGTTGCGTTAAGCAGAGTTAAAACATTACAGGGTCTTACAATACAAGATTTTACAGAAAAAAACATATATTGTGATGAAAAAATTGAATCGGCATTAAGAGCAATGTATACTTTTTTTAAACCCGAAAACGAGACCATATCAACTGATTCTAATATAATTTTACACAATGTTCAGGGTTTATCTATTCATATAGAGGATTTACAGAAACACAGGAAAATGCTACAAGGTGAAATCATTTGTTTAACAGAAACATGGCTAAATAATTCAATAACTCCAGCAAAACTAAAGTTAAATGGTAGGAGTATATTATAAGCAAAACAAAAATATCAACATTTTAAAATTGGGAGTTTTAAATATAGAACACATTGCTTTGAATATTTTGGATAAAAATATTAACGTAATTGTTATCTATAGACCACCCGTTTATCGATTAGATTTATTTCTCCCAATGTTAGAAAGATTATTAGTTGAATTACAAGAATCTGGTTCAGACTATGTTATTATGGGGGATTTCAACCAAAATATCTTGGAGGGTCATTTGTCTATACTGAATTGTTTTCAAAAATTTGGTTTTCAACAACTTGTTCAGCATTACACTACTGAAAGTGGGACACTTCTAGATCATGTTTATATCAGTAAAGAAATTCCGTCACATAATGTTCACATTTCACACATACCTGAATATTATAGCTACCATGAAGCTATTAAAATAACCATACGATAAGTTATATTGATACAAGATTGAAATTACCCTTTCACAAAACATTTCATTTAGCTTGGCTCTTTACTAAAAGTGGTCGAGTCAACACCGTGCTTGAGAGGGTTTGAAGTTCAAAAAAGTCTTACAGCTATCAGACAAAGTATCACGGGCCACGCTCAGTGCTTTTCACAGCTCTAGTTTTTTTTTTTTTTTTTTTTTTGCATACAAATTCCAAAAATACCTCTATTTAAAGCTGTGAATTTGCAAATTATCAAACCGTTCGAATTATTTTTCTATCCTAATTAGAACTCAAATTTCAAAATACTGTCTAATGTTTGTGAAATATGCAAATGTTTCAACAGGAGTGTATCTTCCAAACCTAAATTACCAGAAGATATAAATTGGAGAGTACATTTTCTTTCAACCCTTCATCATAAAGACTGCCAGTTGCTCATTTCATGGTCACAAAGTGGGAATTAATTTATTAATTTAGTTTTAAACGAACTAGCCTTATACTACTATCGTACACGTAACGAACATGCTACTCTTTTACTCTCCTATCTAAGTTACGTCCCTTCTGTCGCTACAGTTGACACTCAGCAGTCACGCGTCCACGAAGCTCCGCAGAGTTTTACCTCAATTTATGAGTGTGGTGAATAATTATACGTTACGCAGAAGGAAGCAAACTAAAAATATCATGGATTCACCCAGGGGAGAAGAAATAACCCGTGCTTCTCAAAGTTCTAATCTCCACGACAAGGAATCCGAAGTGGAAAAGCTTGCTGATAGTTGGAATCAAAATGGCGGCGCCCATGGCCAAACTTCCGATGTAAACACAATGGATGTTGACAGCCTCCAACAACAACTCGAGGCATTGCGTCTCGAAAGAGAGAAACTGACTTTAATTAGACAAATTAGAAAAGAAAAGAAAGCTATCCTGAATCTTCAAATTGCAGAGGACGATCTAGATCTTTCGTAAGGAGTCACGAAAAACCTGAAGCCAATATTGATGGTGGTGCTGCGGCCGTTGCTAACGAGCTGCCCAACAGTAACATAACCAGGGAATTTACAGGTACATCTCAGACTTTTATCCCTATTTACAGTACAGCCCATCCCATTATAGCTTAGGCAGAAATCAAAGATCTCCTAGATATATCTGTAACTACGTTTGGGAGGATCCCTTCGAGGGCAGTAACTCGGACGATGTAATAGCCTTTACCACAGAGGGACAGATCAAAATAACGAAGAAGACGAAACACGACAAGTTTTCTGTAGAACAGTGGGGTTATGCCAACCTGAACATTTTGAAGGACATGATTTCGAGTGGAGAATTGGACATCCCCGGCATTTTAGATTATTTAGACTATTCTATGGGAGTTTTTCGTCTATTTAACCGTCATATACGAGCTAGTGTACTCTTATATGACAAGGAATATAGAGACTTACAAGCCAGAATGAATTTCCCATGGGGCACTATTCGACAAGACCTTCATAACTTTCAGTTGCTTCCGAAACAGACTTTGGACAATCTTAACAGAACCAAGAAACTAAGTAATTTTGATCAGGCTTCGCGTAGAATGATTCGTGGACCTGTATCTCCAGAGGGAAAAGAAGTTTGCCACAGGTTTAATAACGATAATTGTGAAAATGCCAAATGTAAATACGCGCATATTTGTTGCGTGTGCTTCGCTTCTCATGCTGCCACTCATCATGTGTCAAAAAAGTAGAAACTTGTTACCCGAGGTCTAAGGTGTGCTTAGACCCTTTGGCTTGGGAATCCCTTCTTCCCCCTGATGATCTTGACAGGGCTTATATCATAGATGGAGTCACTGTTGGATTTGATATTTTTGATATTACTCCGGTTATTAATACCCCAGTTGAATGTAATAACTACTTTTCTGTTCATAATTCACGGGAACTTGTTGAAAAACAAATTTATGAGGAAATGTCCAATGGGAACTACATTGTTTTAGACCATAAGCCTGTTATCGTGAGTGCTTTGGGAGGTATTCCTAAATCGAATGGAAAGATCCGCTTGATACATGACGCTAGTAGACCTGTGGGTAACAATATGAATAGTTTTGTGACTGACACATCATGTACGTATATGGACCTCTCGGAGGCGAGAAAATATATTAAATGCGGATCGTTCCTTGCAAAAGTTGATTTGAAAAGTGCGTATAGATCAGTATGCATCCATCCTACTAACTATAAGTATACTGGCTTAAAGTGGCAATTCAGCGGTGACGACAAAGTCACTTATTTATCTGATACAAAACTCCCGTTTGGGGCGGCAAAAAGTCCCCAAATATTCCAAAGGCAATCATGTGGCAAAGATATCGTATACGTGTAATTTCATATCTGGATGATTTTCTCATCATAGCGGACACCTACCAAATGTGCTCTGATGGGTTTCAGAAACTTATAATATTGCTGCGCAGGCTTGGCTTTAGTATCAACTGGAACAAGGTCGAGGGTCCTTCACAGCTTTTAGTTTTCCTTGGAATCCTCATTGATACTAATAATTACACTTTATCTTTACCGCAGTCTAAATTGGCTACGTTCACCGATTTACTTAAATCATTTTGTATTAAAAAACGTGTTACGAAGCTTCAATTGGAATCATTATGTGGCAAACTAAACTGGGCTACCCAGGTCATATGTGGTGGGCGAACATTTATGCGCAGAATATTGGATTTGAAGAAAGGTCTTATAAGGAAAAATCATAAAATCCTTTTGTCACACGATTTCTTTAATGATCTGAATTGGTGGTTGCAGTTTTTGAGCACATTTAACGGAACCATGCCTATAATCTCGTTTGATAAATCATATGTGACAGTACAAACCGATGCCTCAACTCCTGGTGCAGGTGCCTATCACCAGGGTGATTATTTTTACATTTTTTACACTGGCGTCTTGATATACCACACTGGTCAGATTGCCACATCAATGTTAAGGAAGTGTTAGCCACATATTATTCAGTGGTTCGTTGGGGATGCTTATGGAGAAACCGGCGTGTGCTGATATATACTGACAATGTGACGGCTAAAGCCTCTGTGAATAAAGGCACTTCCCCCAATTCCACAATTATGTTTTTACTTCGCCAGATGTTTTGGCTCTCCGCAATCCATAACTTTAGTCTTCATGCAATATTTATTCCGACGCATCGAAACGTAATTGTTGACGCCTGCTCTCGTCTTCACGAGAAAGGGAAGTTATCAACTTTATATGATCTGGTACCATCTTTGAAGTTTGAACTTTTTTCATATGAGAAACTTTGTAACCACATGTCTGTGACACAATATCTTAATATCCTAAACCAAATTCACCGCGCTGCTGGTTATGCAGATCCTATTTCTAATGACTGGAACATTCAATTTTTAATGCGAGGTGTCAAAAGAACATTAGGCACGGCTCAAAATCATGTTGATTCGATGAGTCCTAATATTTTACTCAAACTTTACTCAGTGTTGAATCTCTCTTTATTTGACCATTTAACCTTTTGGTGTATATGTTTAGTTGCCTTCTTTGGTCTATTACGTTTACACAATCTCGTTGTAAAATCGGAATTTAATCCTTCATTGGACTTGCGTCGAATAGATCTTATACCAGACCCCTTTGGTTATAAAGTGGTTTTTCGTACTTCTAAAACAGTACAATTTCGGGAAAGAGATCAAATAGTTTTTCTTCCCAGGCTACCTGGTCACCCACTTTGCCCTGTGACCCCTTTGCAAACTATGCTTACTTTCCAACCACAGGCAGATGTGTTCGGACCCCTCTTTACCACTCAGTGTGGTGCTCCTTTTAAATATGCATTTTTTTGGCCAGGCTACACTTTCTCAAGTTAGCAGGAATAACCAACCACAGACTTTCGGGTCACTCATTTCGCAGAGGAGGAGCAAACTGGCTCCACCACTTGGGTTTTGATGACTCCGCCATTAAAGACATAGGCTTTTGGTCTAGTGATTGTTTTAAACGCTATTTGGACCCAAAAACTGACAAGCATGTGCACATCATGACGCAATTTGGTATTGCACTCCCGAACTCCCTATAAGGCCGTAAGCCGCATTTTTTTTTTTTTTTTTATCTAATTATCTGTAGTTAATTCACATCATTATCTTTATAATCTTATATATATATATCAACTTATTTCTCATATTGACTATTGGATCTGGGGTTTGTAGCTCAAACTTACACTTTTATTTAGTTTAGTTTAATCATATTAATTTATTAATTAAGTTTTATAATTTGTGTTTGTTTTGATTGTATTAATAAATTTTGTCCCACCTTCATTTCTCGATTATTGCGAAGTGATAATTTAAATTGTAGACTTGAAAGCACCAGAGTTTAAAGATTTTGGTTTCCGACAACTTCTTCCCTAACGAAGGTGGGATCCATAGGCCATATCAGTAAAGATATCCCGTCACATAAAGTTAAATTTGCACACATACCTGTTTATAATAGCTACCATGAGGCTATACAAGTAATCACAACGTTATATTAGATAAAGATAAATATACCTTTCAGATTTGATAAAACTGCTTAGTTTCCTCTTCTGTTTACTTAAAGTGACTGAGGGAACGCCAAGTTTATAGTACAAAAAGGGTAGTGCAAAATCGAGATAGCAGGCCTGTATAATCTGAAGATAGCAGACCCTAACTAGAATCCGCAGACCCCCTAAACTATAATCCGCAGACCCAACTAGAATCTGCAGATCCCCTATACTAGAATCCACAGACCCCATCTAGAATCTACAGATCCCCTATACTAGAATCCGCAGAATCCCTATACAGTAAAAACTATTAAGAGACCACGCAGGGGAAAATTCAAAAACGGTCTCTTACTGGAGATGGTCTCTTATGAAAGAATTGAGTCGGCTGAAATAATTTCATTCATTTCCTTTATTTCATTCTATGTATTAGAAATCCGCGCGCTCACCACTCATAGCACCAAAAACAATGTTATTCCTTTAACAATGGTCCGTTTACTACGGCATTCCGGGCGCGACAATCTTTAAAAAAACTCCCAAGTTTCACACTTTTCCGATCGGGAGAAACATTGCTCTCAAAATTCTCCTTAATTTCAGCTTTACGCTTCAGAATTCTCTGAATTTGGGTCTTACCAACACCTATTTCATCGGCAATTTGTTTTACAAGCACACCATATACTCCAGGGCATCAACAGCAGGCATTTAAACCCAGTACTGTTGCACTGACATTTGTAATTTCCACTCTGACCTGGATGCAGAATATTTTTCCTATGGAAGCATGCATTTCATGTGTCGATAATTAGACTTGGAGATGGTCTAGACATCCACTGGTGTTTATTGTATAATAAGCGATATGGAAGTTTTTACTTGCAAAGTATAGCAAAAACTGCTTTATGAAGCTTTGTGGGTTGATATCCTTTGATGTTGAAAATGAGAAGAGTTCAAAAACCGTTTGGTTATGATATTGAAAAACGAAATGACAACTGTTTTATTCAAGAAACGTTTTATTATAATATTGTGCATTATGTTTGTATAAATCGGATTGTTGGAAAAACGATTCATCTTTCTCAGTCATATTAATTTTTACAGCGTTGAAATATACAGTACATTTATTTTACATAGTAGGCTATCTATTGTTCTGCGGATTGTAATTGGGATCTGCGGATTCTAGTATAGGGAGTCTGTAGATTCTAGATGGGGACTGCGGATTCTAGTATAGGGGATCTGCGGATTTTAGTTGGGCCTTCGGATTCTAGTTTGGGTCTTCCGATTATACATTGCTTACAAAAAGTCTTTAAGCTATGGGGCAAGGTATTATATACATGGTTTATATACCAGATATTTCAGATTATTAAGGATTACAAAAATTAGAAGAGTATCCGAGTTAAGTCATAATATTACTGTTGATAAAGCAGTTATAAATGACAATTTTCCATGAAACTAAAAATAGGTCGACAAGGCTCATAGATTTCGCTTTTCAGATTCCAAAATTCTGGCGAAACCTATCCAGAATAATGTATTACGTGCTTATACTATAACGACCAATCAGACGCTGATAATACGACTCCTTGATATTTATCATCAGTGTTACCATGGTGAAAATTAAAGTTTGTAATTAAAACTTGCAGAAATTATGACCTAATTTTCACCTAGGTTAAAATAAAAGTTTTTAATGCAAAATAAAAAGTGAAATATGTCGTATGTGACCCACTGTATCAATAAGATATTGTTTGATAATGTGCTATTTATATTTTTTTTTCATCTACAGGTCATTGTAATTCTGGGAATGTGTGGTCACTGATATTGTCTGTCCTGCCCAATAGTTCAGTGGATTACGGGACAGGACAAGAGCTTTACAACTCGGTTAATGCTGGTAAAGGTTTAAAAGTCAGTATTATCAATGGAAATCCAGAATACACTACTATCTACAGCATTGAACACTCTGGTGCTTCGGTGTCAAACAATATTTGGGCAATTACAATAGAAAATGTTAAACTCAATCATCTGAATACAACTGATAGTTTCTTAGCACGGCATAGACTTGAAATAAGCTCAGCACAACCATACGCTTCTGAATGGTCTATGACTTTCAATGACAGAAAAGAAAGTGTTGTATATTTTGAGAACTTTGCGATAAAATGGTTCCAGGAGAATAAAATTGGATCATCTCCTTGCTTAGAAATGAAAAATGGCAATGTAATAATAGGGTCTATGACTAATTGTCTAAAAGATATAAACAAAGGAGCGGACATGTATCTCAATGAGGAGAAACGCACAAATACTAAAGCAACATCGGTTTTGTCTACTGCGACTTATTTGGTTGGCTATAGATACCCTTTACCGGCTCATCGAAAGCCAGCAGATGTTTATTACTTTCCTAAACCAATTTATACCATAAACAATATAGAGTTTAGTCACGGTACTAACAAATATCTAAAATGGTATGTTGGCTCTGCCAAATACTTAGATAACTACACAACAGCTTCTCTTGCTCAGTGGCTTACAGATAATTGTTGGATAGAGAGCGCTTTCATTTCAGATTCTGGATACATTATATCTGGTTCAATATTACACTTACTAGAATCACTTAAGAATGGAATACCAATTAAAGTTGGATATAATAATTATATTTCTAATATTAAAGATGTCATAAGTATAAATAAAACTGTCATTGCCGTTATTGAAGATATTTTGGACGATTTTAATCTAATTGAGGGTATTATGATTCGTCGTATGGTATCTACATCTGGTTTAATAGTATCTGTATCTCACATCTTGGAACAAACCTCAACTAACATTTCAACCATTGAAACAGGCGGAACAAGGTGGTATGTTGAAAGTAGACAAACGTGGGAGAAGATACTGACGTTTGATGGGTCGAGAGATGTGGTATATGGTTCGAAAGATCAAGTTTATGATGCAGCTGTTAATGGATCAGGGTTTAGAATCGTTATAGAACACAGTGAATCTGTTTATCGATATGCTCCCATAGACATTGTACATGTCTATAACTCAACCTTTGTAGTTCTAGAAACAGGAATAATATCATCTATTGAGTTTGATGGTGATGAATACAGGTCATTTCAATGGGATGGTTTCTTATCAACAAATGGTGTTTATGAAACAGTGAAGTGGACAACTGGCTCTGATCTTTTACAATTTAGAACCATAGTAAATTACAATAGACTTGATGTATTTATTCAGAATTAAGATTTTCTTCGTTTCAATCTTAAATTCCTGTTTGGTCTGTGATTTTATTTGTATCATTTCATTATTTAAAGAAAATATGCGCCATTTTTTTCCATCAATAGTTGATACATAGCATGTTAGCCCCCTTCTCGCCAGCCCTAGCCTTTTTCCCCAAACTTGTCGTTAGCTTTGTAAACAGTTATTTTGGGCTCATGTTAGGTTCACGTTATGTTCTTGATGTAGGTTCATATAGGGATTTGTTAGCCAAAAAAATCAGTCGACAGATTTAGGGATAGGACAAATACAAATACATGCTAAAACTGAGTTGGTGTGGTGGTTACTAAACAAAACTATAAATTGGGCCAACTTAGCTGGAGCTTTTTGTAACACTTCAAATATGTCAAGATTCTAGATTTAGAAAAATAGCGGTTGGAATTGAGAATGTATGTAAAAATTGTAGATGTATATTATGTTTCACTAAAGTATGTTGTATACTCCCTTTGCTCACGTATACCCTTTTTTTTACGCCAACATGGTCGTATATTGTTGTCGCCCATGTCCGTCGGTCGGTCGGTCGGTCAGTCCGTCCGTCCACAGTTTTTATCTGATTTTAATGAAATTTGGTGTGATCGTTTATATTCATGATATCTTAGTTCGAATTTTCGATAAAGAGTTTTTGGGTTAATGCCCTTGACTTCCGAAAAACGCGTCAAAATTTGTTTTTGAACACAATACAGACTACAGTTTTCATCTGATTTTAATGCAATTTCGTGTAATCATTTATAATGATGAGATCCTGGTCAAGATAGAATTTTACAATTTTTCGATGAATGGTTTTTGAGTTATCGCCCCTGACTTAGTAAAAACACGTCAAAATTTGTTTGTGAACACTATAATGACTACAGTTTTCATTTGATTTTAATGAAATCTGGTGTGAACATCTATTAAAATGAGATCTTGGTCAAGTTTGAATTTGATGAATTTTCAATTTATGGAATTTGAGTTAATGCCCTTGACTTAGTAAAAATGCATAAAAAATTGTTAGCAGTTTATGTTAAAATTTTACGAAATTTTTGTGTTTGATTATATCAACAATATCTTGTACAAATTAAATTTTTGGTACGATTTGACACGCGACCACCTTTGATATACTAAAAATTTATCAGGGAAGTGACCGTATCTTGCTAGGCAACCACTTGTTGAATTAATACCGTATTTTCCGAAGATAGAATTTTTTAAGACCAGCTTGATTCAACACGATACATAAATTCAGAAAAAATTGTTGTTTGGTTTTTTACTTTCATCAGTGCAGAATTTGACAGGCACAATCTTCTGCTTACTCTCAGACGTAATCTTTAGACGACCTATTCATCACCGATTTACATCAAAGGTGCTGAAATTGACAGATATCATCATTGCTCATTCTACATATCCCGTGCTGACGTTCTACAATACATTATTCATGTTTTATCTTTTTCTATTGTTGCGAAATCTAAACACCATATCAGGTATATTTTGTCAACTTCATGGTATCCTAACTTTCTATTATGATAATAGTTTCAGCTGTAAGAATTCTATTTATTTTTAATGTAGTTTGTTACGAGTAAAAGAATAATGTTTTCATATAAAGTCTTAAAAGGGTAATTTGCGACACAACGTATAATAAATTGTTTATGGAATTATACCCCATAACCAGTCGTTAACACATCTCTAAAATATTGTTGTCAGCCACGTAATATATACCCATATCATCAGTTAAAAGAGCAATATTGTATTTCATAGAGGCCGCGTCACACTGTGAAAGATGCACCAGATGCACACACAATGAAGGAAATGTTCAAATTCGGGTCTGATCGTATTAATATCGAACCATTCGTGAGATATGATGGAAAATCTTTGGCATGCCAGAAAACTCTGACTAACGTTGCTGAGGTTCATTTCTCGTGTTGAATTCATGTCTTATGGCTGACACATTGTGAGTCTATACCTTGACTATTATACTAATGCGGTCGGGGCCTGATTAGTAATACAGGTCTTCGACCTCCTTGGAGGTAATGTTTGTCGATCTTCCATGAGCCATCGCAAGCCTTCATGTTGTGGGTAATCCCAAAATGACGTTATACAATCACGGAATCTACCCTTGCCTTACCATTCGGATATGATTTTTAGTAGTATATGAGCTTTCAATTTGTTCGCTCATATTGGTCGCATAGGGAATTCCCCTTTTCATGGGTTTTCCCCTTTTCATGGGGATTCCCCATGTCATTCCATTTCATTTCATGGCTAAAATCTAATTGAAAGCTCCCATAAAGACCTAAACATCCTACATTTCATAAATTCTTACAGCAAAAGACCTAAATTCTTACACCTATATTCCCTATATTTCATAAATTCTTACACCCCCCACATTTCATACACCAAAAACACCTTCAATCAATTTCCTACATTCCATCAAAAAAAGCAAATTAAAAATAACCTTATATAAAATAACATAACATTTTTAGTAGAAGGGAGATAACTCTTTTTGGATAAAAAAAAAAGACTAAATTAACTCATTTAAAAATAGGATGAGTTTAATTCTAAAACACGAACAACACAGATTCGAAGATTATTCGGGCGACGGTATCTTTTCTTCATTATTTTCTCTGGGTAAAACAATAATTCCAAAAGTAGCTAGCTTTGTTTCAAAAAACAAATCACTCATTTCAAGCGGAGCGATCGCTGAAGCGGGAAAGAGCATAAGCGACACAGTGAAACAATCTAACGAGTTGAAAGAATTAGAGATAATAAGAGAACTTCGAAACAGGAGATTAGAAGAAATGAAAGGAAAAGGTTTTAAAGTTATAGGATAAAAATGATTGTCGCTCACGCTCCAAAAACTTATTTCGGTTCAGGAGATATACAAAAATCATTGGGTTCTCTTCCTGGATTTCCATGGGCGAAATATCCCGGAGAAAAACATCTTCCGGTCATAATTACACTGGTCCAGGCACTAGGTTAGATCTACGATTAGACGAAAACAATAAACCCAAACCAGGGGAAGAACCAGTCAATAGAGTTGACGCCGCTGCGCTTAAACATGATATTTTATACAGAAATAAAGACATAAAGTTTAGACACGAAGCAGACAAACAAATGATAATAGAACTTGAAAATATTCCAAATCCAACTTTCAAAGAGAGAATGGAAAGAGCATTAATCATTAAACTGTTAAAAGCAAAGATGAAATTAGGTATGGGATTGGCGGATGAAATTCATAAAGAATTTAGAAAAAACTAAAAACTTTTTAAAAGTCAAAGTGTTTGAAAAAGATGAAATATGGTCAGCCGATTTAATTCATATGCCAGTCGAAAGAGGATTTAAATATTGCTTAACAGTTATAGATTTATATACGAGATATGTATGGGTTATTCCTCTGAAAAACAAAACGGGTTTATCAGTCAAACACGCATTTGAAACGATTATGAAACAATCTAACCGACATCCAGAAAAACTATGGGTAGATAAAGGAAGTGAATTTTATAACAAAAATATGAAATCTCTGGGATTTGAAATTTACAGTACACATAACGAAGGTAAAGCTGTAGTTATTGAAAGATTTAACAGGAATAGAAGATTAAGAGATGTAGACAAGCATTTACGCTTTAAATTTTTTAAATTTAAATGCAAATTTATGTTCAAAATATTATTGAATGTAATACAATTTTTTCAAACACAAACTACGTATATATTTAAAAAAAACCGATTTTTAAAAATGAATGAATTTCTCGATAAATATGGAACCGATACAACCACAAACTTTCAACTTATGAGATGGGCGAATGAGTTAAATATATCACCGTTTTATTATTGTATGAGAGATGAAATAAATGATCTCAAATATAAGAAAGGTAAATTTTACGCTATATCAAATATACATACTTCCGATCGAAAAAAGGAGTTCATCATTCTGCTTTGTACAAAGACTGTGACTTTTATTTCTTCGATTCTTATGGATTAGAACCCACTGAAGAGATAATACAATTGACTAATAAACCAATCAAATATTCAACATTTCAAATTCAATTACCGGGACAAAAGTTTTGTGGGCAACTTTCACTTTGGGTTTTATATCAGTTGAGTTTAGGAAAACAGTTTGAAGAAATTGTAATAAATTTAACTAAATGAAAATGGCGAATAAGTTTGGATTAGGTTCTTTATCTTTAGAAACTAAAAAACCTAACACTACAGCGTGGATAAATAAAGCGAAACCTTACTTTGTGGATCAAATCGGAGATACTCTTCAAGGTGATTTAGATATGAACAATTTTAGCATAACTAATTTAAAGTCTCCGGAAAACGATAATGATGCCATTCACAAGAAATATTTAATGGAACAATTAAATTTAATTGAAGTAAATAAAAACCATTTAAAAGAAAGAATAGGCGATGTGAAAAGATTCTTCAAACGTCAACTAAATAATAAAGATTTTATTGATGATACTAAATTACAACAAGAAGTAACAAGTTTAAAAAATTTTATTCAACAACAATTAGTCAATGTAGTAGATGAAACTCAATTATAAAATTTAAGTTCATTAATATCTAATTTAGATGATAAGATTACAAAGCAAAAAATAGAACTAATAGCCAATATTAATCCAGGTATAAGTGAAGACAAATTGCAACGGGAATTAACAAATATTCAACAACAAATACAAAACATAGACGAAATCAAAACCTATATTCAACAACAACAGAACATTGATGATAGTGTTATTCAACAACAGATAACCACTATTAATAACCTAGTTTTAAAACAGGATAAAAATATACTAGCATTAGAAAAAAAGTTTCTCAAGAAAGAATCATATTATTTCAATCTTCCATTAATGTTTTTGGAATTTTATAGGCCAACTATTACTGATAATATTGATAGAACAAGAGAGTATGAATATAAATTATATGGATTTACAGCAAATATAAGAGAATATACCACATTATATAATGATCCCTATAAAATATTTCATAATGTTAATGCTTTTTTTTTCAAAGGAAAACTTACAAATGAAATAACATTTCCTATACAGGTAAAAGTTGAATCAATATTCTTCAGACAAAACTCATATACATTTAGAAAATTTAACGCTCGTAAAGTTCTTCAGTTTATCAATGGTACAAAAAATAGCTTTAGAATGTTAATAATACCAGATAATGAAGAAGATGAACTTTCATTGAGTGCTTTTGATATGATATTAGAAACGGAAACTCCACCATCAATGAATATTATTAGAAATCCAGAACCACAAAAAAAAGATGTAAGCGATTATGAGTTTTTACGAGCAACAGACTTTGAATACGTAAAACTATATTTTGTTGATAATGATATATTTACCTCACTCGATATTCATAAAAGTAAAAAAAAATCAAAAATTTTTAATAAGAGATGGTGCATATGCTTTTATATCAATGTCTATTGATAAACCAAGATTTTCAGTTCATCTGAATAAGATTAATGATTCGAAAGAACAAATATCATTAGTATCTGTACAAGTTTTTAGTGATTTAGCTATATCAGAAATTCACTTAATTTAATACCTAAAAATGGAAAAATGGAACTCGAAAGAAGACAAAACTATATGATAGAAAAACAAAACGAACTAAAAGAAAAACTAAAACAATTCAACAAATGCAGAAAAACATGGAGTAAAATCGATTCTGTTTTCAAAACATTCAGTACAGTTTTAACACTAGGGATAACGGTGGCAACAGCCGTAACCGGTGGATTAATGCTTCCAATCATCGTCCCAACAGTATTAACCTCTTTCACTGCCGTTCAAACTTCATCTTGTGGTTTGATTACTTTAGGTTTTACATCAAAACAGAAAGCTTATTATAAAAGGAAAACAAAAATTTTAAATACATATCTTAATAAATTATTCATTTTTTTCGAAAGATCGAGAGAGGATAAGAACATAACCATTGAAGAATTAGAAGAATTCAATGAAATTTTAGATAAATTTGATGTAGAAATATCATCAATAAAAGTTAAAATTCCTAGTTAAAAATAGTTGCTTTAAAAATAGTTGCTTTAAAAATATGAATAAATTTATATCACATGATCTTTTTTCCAATGTTATTAACCAAGTCGTTAACGAATTTAATTCATTTAACGGACTAATTGAATTAGATGGAAAGATAACTCAAGATGGAAAATGCCTACAAGACATACAATTTTTAGGTTCTGATATCATTACTTTTGTCAAAGTCTTCACGCCGCTGGATAAAAAAACGTTTTTCACAGGAAAAATGATTTTCCATAAGTGGTAATCAAAGCTCATTATAATTTTTTTTTTTTTTCGAGACAATAAAAATTCCTAGTTAAAAATAGTTGCTTAAAAAATATGAATAAAATTGAAATTGTAGACGATAAAAAATTCATACCAGTGAAAATTTTAGACAAGATTATCTCTGATGAATTAAAAAATATGGATATATTCATATCAAATAAACTTTTTTCCGATGTTATTCACCTTATCTCTAATGAATTTATAACATTTAAAGGGCAAATTGAAATAGTTGGAGAGATAACTCAAGATGGAAAATACAAACAAGACATGAAATTTGTAGGTTTTAATACCAAAACTTTTGTCAATTTCTTCGCTACAGTGGATGAAAAATCATATGCCTCCGATTGGTATTTCACAGGAAAAATCATTTTCCGTAAAAACAATTTCAAAGAAATAAAAAGATCAAAAAAGGGTAGTGGTGTTAGCCTACTCAAAAAGATAAAAGAATATATCGGTATAAATTGTTATATACCGAGTGATGGATGCTGTTTTGTAAAATGCGTAAATTATGTTTTGAACAAAGACTACACGAGAGAATTTCAAGATTTCATCAACAGTTTTCAAAAATCAAACAGAAAAGGAGTTATGACAACTGCTAGAATTTGCGAATTCAATTAGAAATTTAATACTAATTTTCAAATATATATGCCCAAACATAGACATTTTCAACCAAAGAAAGTAACCGAAGAATTAGATTGGGTTTTTTATTTACACAAAGAACATTTCTGTTTGATAAGAAGAAATAACAAAGCTTTGGGCATTAAGGAAATAGAAGATAATTACGATGAAAACGTATGGAGAACTTGTGAAGATGATAATGCGGTAACGCAAGTTTCACTTCTAAAACTAAACGTTTTTCCAACCATTCCCGATTAATGTTTATACGCATGGGATTGCGAAACCTATTGCGAAAAAGAAACGAATAAAGCCATTCCTTATTGTTGTATTATAGTCAATTTGGAAAAACTGAGGAAAAGATTAGATGATTATAGTAAGACTCTAGATTTTAAGCCGTCAGATCCCATTTCAGAAGAATTTTACAACAAACTCATGACTAATATAGTAGAAATATTTGTAGGTACAGATTGTATAGATCAAATGTTACAACGTTTAGGAAAAGTAGATCAGAAAAGACTAACCTTAATTTCCCATAACGGCAGTGGTTTTGATAACTGGATCATGATCAAAAACGTAAAAAAACTAACACAATGCCCTTTAAAAACAGCTAGAGGAATTCTGTCTCTACCTTTAACTAATTCATTCACTAATGAATATTTACAGAAAAAATGGAAAAGACAGAAAGAAATAAAGGGTAACTCTAATTATTTGCAAAATATTAATTTCACATGTTCCTATCAACACGAATCATCTAGTTTGGCAGCATAGGGAAAATCATCTAATCTACCAATGAATTTGAGAAAGATCGAGGATGTTAATATTGCAAAATACACTAAAGATAATTGGGAATCTTTAAGACACGAATAGGAACCTTACGCTAAAAGAGATACTCTATGTCTCGGAGCTTGTTTGATAAAATACAATCAAGCCATGAAAAAAACTGTCTTACAAAACGTTTCCAATAATCTAACGGCTCCTTCTTTATCTTTAAAGGGTTGGTATTATTTATATCATTACGATAAAGAAATGGTTGAAGAAGAATGGTATGAAAGTACTAGAATGGTTCCGAAACGTACGGAAAAACAAAACGTAGAAAAAGTTTACTCGCATACTCATCCTTTTATAAGATATTTTATCAGACAAAGTATTAAAGGAGGAACAGTTTCAGCAAATCGAAAATCATTTGAAACGAATAAAATGGATGAGATCTGCGCCATATTAAAAGAATACAATGAAAGTGACACTGAAGGAATAATAGAATTATTCAAAGAATACAGTGTTAACCCAAAAGATAAAACGGAAGTTCACGCTAAACTCAAAGAACTGGACTATTCTAAACTAATGGCATTTGACGCTAATGGGTTGTACGCTTCAGCCATGACAGAAGGTGAATATCCTAAAGCGGAAAGTGCAAGAGCGTTTCTACTAGAAGAAGAAAAAGAATTTGTAAAACTGTTCAATAAACAAAAATTCAGACCTAGAACTGCTATTTTAAAAGTTTGGTTTGAATATCCCAAAAAAATGTTCTTTCAACCCATACCAGCTAAAGATAAAATAACTTTTACGAATAGAATAGGTCAGAAGGAAACTGGCACTAAAATCAGGTTCAGAAATGGTTTCTGTCACGACGTTTTAACATCAGTTGATATTCAAGAAATAGTGAAATCCGGTGGTAAAATTATTAGAATATTAGATGGTATAGTTTACGAAGAAAATTTTAAAACTCCACCATACAGAGATTATATTTTAATTTTGAAGGAATTAAGGAATAAATACAAAAAAGAAGGAGATATGGTTGCTAGTAATTGCATGAAATTATTAGGTAATTCCTTATACGGTAAATCTATTCAAAAGGATATAAATCATCGAGACATCTATGGAGTGAAGCGACTTTTAAAGCCAACTTCGATTCACACGTCAAAAGCTATGAAAAAGTAAATGATAGTCAATATATAGTTGAGATGAATGAAGAAGAAAAAGAGTTTGTTCCTTCAAAGGATTATACTAGATTAACACCCACTCATTTAGGTGCATTTATATTATCTCACAGTAAAAAAATAATGAACAATTTCATTCACGTAATAGATCGATTTTATAAGCCTGAAATATACTATACAGATACTGATAGTTTATACATTTCGTCTAGTAATTAGGATAAATTAAATGAAGCTGGGTTGGTGTCTGAAAACGAATATAGCAAAGGGAAGAATGATTACGGTGATGGTGGAATCATATTTGGTTTATATTTAGCGCCAAAAGTAAAATACAATATCATTTTAACTTCCGATGGTGTTTTAAAAGAAAAGAAAACGTTTAAGGGTTACTCTAACTATAAGATTAAGGTAAAAGACTACATTCAATTAGCTAGTGGACATGACGTAACGAATGAATTTAAGAAACCTTGGGTAAAAAGTTTTACTGATGGAATAGTTATTCCTAATGAAAAACAAAAGAAAGTTTTCAGAAGTTATCTGAATCTCGTTAAGAGAAAAGCACCAAACAGTGAAGGAATTATGTATCCTTACAACAATAAAGATGAGATGTGTTTGGATGAAAACTATGAATTTGATGATTTCGATTATCTAACTATTCAAGAAGAGAATGAAGAGTGTTATTTTTTTTGTTTTAAATGAAGTTGAATAACAATTTCCTCGTTACCAAAATCTATAAACCTATTTTTACCATCTTTGATTTCCAGATTTATATCTTTAATCATAAAGGAATTAAGTGGTAAATATGTCGTTTGAAATGGTTTCTCTATAATTCTATATCCTATCGGTACAGTGAATATTAGCTTTGTGTGGTGCTAAAGTGGATTGGGTGTATATTTTTTTATCAAATCCTAGTAAAGTATTCAATGAATTTTCTACGTTGAAATCAACTTGACTATTATTTCTTAATATCAATTTTATTTTGCTTAGATTCAAATTACCTTCGAATTCGATATTGTTTTTACCATTGACGCTTAATGGCTATGTATTCATAGCTTCCTGGTAGTAAACGTATGGTTTTGAATGTAGCTCCATTATCTGTTGATATTTTTATTTGATTATTTTTTTTCGTTGATATTTCTAATGGAATTTTATTACGCTTTTATAATCATTTTTATCTATGATACCTTTTTCTAGGAGTCTTTTTAATATACAATTCACTTCATTAAATTGTCTGTTTGATCGATGTCCTTCCTTCATTGCCGCTAATATTTCTCGTAATCTATTAAGCAATTCTTCGTTGTTGTCGGATAAAAACGTTATACCTTGTCCAGATACCATATCTTCGAATTCGTCTATTTCTTGTATGATTGGTGGATAATCATCTGCATAATCATCTGAATCCTCTTCATCAGGAATAACTTTATTCAAATATGTTTCAACTGCTTTCAATCTTCTTGTTTCGGGTCCTGACTTTCTTATTGCATCTAGAAATTTGGAGTATGCTAGTAAATCCTTGTAATCGGCAGTGCCAATATACCCGCCATTCATTAAATCTATTAATCCTGTCGTTAATGTAAATATTAAGTTTTTTGTGTCGATTTTGAATATAGGAGAATTTGTCCTAAATTTAATTCTAAATCCATTAAACAATAACCCCTCATCATCAATGATTGGTGTAATACTCTTTGGTAAATCTGCTTTAGGGTTTGAAAAAAGACGATTTATATCATCTAATGTCCTAATTATGATTTCATCATCTGTAATGGGAGGTTCTATAGGAGCTATGGGTTCTATAGGAGGGATGAGTCTCTTTTTAATATCCTCTTGAGATTTTAATATGGGTTGAAATAGAGTTTGTAGATTTTCCGTTAATCCGAGTTGTTGTAATCTGTTATTTTAAACTTGGGTCTTTATTTTATTCTTAGCTTTGATATATTCTCTATTTCTTTTTAAAATATTATTCCAATCCATTTTTAAAAAAATAAAATTAACATATATCGTTCATAACTCTTTCACCCGCAGGTTTTCTAGTATTTACAAATACATATCCATGATCATCTGGATATCTCCATTGAGCTTTAGAAACCTTTTTAAATGCATCTCTGTCCATTCCGTGATTTATCGATTGAACGATTTGAGATAAATCTTTGTCGTTTAATTTAAATAATAAAAACAATTT